ACTCGTAATTAGGAAGTAGTGGGATAAAATAAGAAGTGGTTACAATAAGGTGGCACTTCCAAAATGTGTCAAGTAAGCCTAGCAGTTGGGGTTGTCAAATGAATGTGAGAAAAAAAGTGTCTAACATATAGGGATGTTATCCACAATACCTCTATAAATAGAGTAGGAGGGTTGAGAAATAAATAAAAGTTGGGAGAGTGAGTTTCCCATACTTTTTGAGTGCGTATAGATTAGTTGCACCATATAGTCACATGAGGGAATGAGAGGAAGGCAAGGAGATTGATTAAGTAAGTTAAAAGTGGACATGCATGTGCTAATATTGGTGTTATTTCAAATGGGAGAAATAAGTTGGAAGCTAACCAACTACTTCTTGAATAAGGGCTCGACTAGTGTAATAAACTTGAAATTTAGGTTAATAAACTTGAATAAGGGCTCCATTATTAGGTTTGGAAGGTAGAGGTGGTTTCCCCATATAGGCTTTTAGGTTCACAAATAGTTCTTCACACTCATTCGTCTACACGATATTTGTCTTCCTTCCTTTCTAATCCTTAAGGAAAAGGAGGCACTTGTTTATTGCTCATGCAATGAACCTATTCAATGCATGTACTCGTCCTGTTAATCTCTACATTTTCTTCATAATTTGTCGTGGTTTCAATTCTAGCAAAGATTGAATTTTTTCAGGATTTGTTTCGATCTCTCGCTCAAGGTTTATGACATTATTGACATATTTGTGTGATTTATACGTATCCGGCCTCCTTAGTGCAACCAAGAACTTTGCACTCATGGTTGGTGCAGAAGTTGGGCAAAAGATGGTACCTAGGGCAACAACTCAAGAAACCTGAATTTATTGTCTATTGTTTTGGACCTCTTTCTTGTGTGTGTGTGTGTATATATATATATTTTAATACAAGCAATAATTTATTTTAAATTAATCTAAACTACGGGGAAGAGATTCGAACTTGGGTGCAGAGTGGGGAGCACATCCGCTCTAACCAACATGGCTAAGTCCATGTCTAAGTTTTGGACCTTTTTTTTTTTTTTTTTTTTGGTGACAAACATTAGGATATTTCGAAACTATATTTACAACACGCCAACAAACTCACAATTAGGTTACACCACCAAAACAACGCTAAACACAAATAGATATCAAACTCATCACACACACACACACACACACACACACACACACACATATTATCATCGTCATCCATGTGAGTTAAATCTAAGACTTCTTCTAACCAAGTGGAAACAAATACTACTAGACCAAATGCTAGTTGATTAGTTTAGGACTATTCGAGGTTCTCAATAATTCCACTGATCAAATTTTTTTCCATTCCACAATGCCTTCATTTGATTTTCTTTTCTTTGACCAATGAGTTCAACATGTTGTCCTTGGTTTGGAACTCCCATTATGCACTCAACGTCATAGGAACTTAATTCCAGCACATAGTCATTCTTCCATTGAAGAATTTTTAGGATCAAGGTTATCAATAAGAAAGCAATGTGATTTTTCGAAGATTAATACCTAAGTCATTTTATGTGATTTTTCTCTTTTAGGAATGTTGATGCCCAAAAATGGGTGACCACTTATGGACCCAACTTAGAGATGCAATGCCTTTGATCTTGTGGGTCCTTCGACAGATGTGGATGATCTGCAAAACAAAGTAAGGGCTAAGTAGCCGAATGTTACTGTTACCTCACTTTTCGGGACTTTTGCCCCTATTTATAGACCCTTAGGGGTGACCACTTCGAAATGTGTTTTGATGTGAGACTGTGGACATTGCTTGATAGGCTACCACATGTATATGTAAGAGGTTGCATGTGAGGCGCATTCTTTAGCCAAATCAGCATGATAGGTTGCCGAAGGCTCACCTACTGACGATGGTTATTTATAGGCTTCATTGTTTTTACTAGGCTCTGTGGGTTCCCTTCGTGTATCCTATGTTGCATGTGTTGTAGAATGATTGGCTAGTCAGATATGGTATAAATCAGAGTCTCCTAAGTTCTCAATTAAGAAGAGACTTCTTGGTTGGGGACTTGCATTTGTCTTCGGCATTCTGACTAGGCATGATTTCACAAAGATGATGAGCATGTCCTTTGCTTTCTTGTCAATGGCAATTCCCTAGTCCCCCCAAGTCTCTGATCAAGGAATTTCTTAGAGAAAGGGTGCTTGTCGCACAAGTGCCGAATGGTAGGGTGTCTATTAATGTATCAAGGAACAATGGGTAGAACCTTGCCGAACGGTAAAGCGGGGGTACCATTCGATGATCACATGAGTATGCATTATGTTGGCTCGTGAAATGCCAATTGTCGTTTGATATAGTTGTATACATGTCAATCGTGACGTACTTGTCTTTTTTAGGGAGAGTTGCTCTGAGGAGAGTGGCATAACATAAGGCTTTGTCTTCTGTGCCCGCATGGGTGAACCTTTAAATGCGAATGGTGGGCCATATATCAGAGCCTAGGCACACTTGGGTGCAATAATGATGGCGCATATTGGTTAACCTAGGCGGTCCTCATAAGCTTTCCATATAAAAGGGAATGGTTCGCGTTTGGGAAATCACTTAGCATTAAGAAAGAAAAATTTGAGATTTGTGTTAGGCGATTTCCAGCGAGCGATTCCTCTTGTGAAAGCGATTTACGGTGGAGTACAGGGCAATGCAATGTCCAGTGACTCTCTGAGCCATGTGAAACATGGTATGCATCTTTTTTCCTTGCCTTCTCGGATTAAATGCCTTGTATTGTTCGAATTTTAAGTATAAACATGTATGAACCTTAGGAAAACGAGGTGGGATAAGAGGATATGCGTCAGAAGCCGTAGGAAACCTTAGTTTGATTCAAGCATGGAATTTAGTTTCCCTTTATTTTTGTTTGCAGATGTCAGACAGAGAATCAGAATATGAGAAGTCCTCCAACGTTCGATGGGGAATCATCGGACGATGAGCAGACTACCGAGAATGAGGATATCGATTATGATAAAAATGATAATGAAGGTGCCGATCTTAAGATTATGGATTAGGATCATCCTAGAAACCTGCTGAAGAGGGTAGGACAAACTCTTTATATATCGAAGGATTTGGGCTCTTGGAAATTAACCCTTTCTCTGGTGGGGTCACCAACGCTCGCCAGTATTGTGAGTTTATACATGCGAGTTACCAATCAGAGGCTTCTACTTTCGGTCATGATGACGTGGCTTACGAATCATCATTGGTGCCGACTGAAGAGCTGATTGAGGTTGCAAGTTGTAACTGGAGAATACCTCAAAGGCCTTTGTTCGGTATGGACTATTTGGATCTGAGCAAGATAACGACACGGGAGTTGACAAAAATTCGTGCAGACTATCGGGTTCCAGATTCGGTGATTATGCGGATTCCTAGGAAAAGGAATCGCTGAGCAATCCATCAAACAGTGAGGTTGTATTTTTTACCAATGTCTTCAAGCATGGCTCAATTGCCGTTGAAGCCTTATATTCAAAGGATTTTGGAGCAGTTTAATCTGAATTTTTGGATTGCTCTTTTGGAAACCATAATTGCCTTCGCCCATGTTGAAAAAGGGGAGCCCACCTATGAGGAGTTTTTGCACCTTTACAATGTGATAAGGGCGAAGAGAAACGACCATGAGGCTGGGTGCAGGCCAATTGTCGGTAGGCGAAGGCCCAAGGACATTTTGTGATGGGAGTACCGACCTCCCAAAAGTCATGGAGGAATCTGCGTGCTCCATTGGGAGTCTGAACCTAATAGGCTGATTCAGTTTCACATCCCCACAACCTTCCAAACAGTCAGTAGGTGCTAGTTGTCGTTCGATAGTGTGGGAGTTGTGCTGGTGTGTATGTGTGTGTGTGTGTGTGTGTGTGTTTGTTGAATGCATATTTCTGTTTCCCACATATGGCGTCAAACTGTTGATGTCCAAAACTAGATGACCACTTATGGACCCAACTTATAGATGTGATGCCTTTGGCCTTGTGGGCCCTTCCGCAGACGTGGATGATATGCAAGGCAAAGAGCAACGGTAAAACCTTGCGTGCTAGTGTAGTACCGGCTAAAGACTCTACGATGCTTAGCTTAAGGATAGAGTGAATAGTAATTTAGACAGAGTAAGGGCTAAGTAGTGGAATGCTATTGTTACCTCCCTTTTAGGGACTTGTGCCCTTATTTGTAGACCTTTGAGGGTGAGCACTTCGAGTTGTGTTTCGATGTGGGATTGTGAACATTGTCTGAGAGGCTGCCACGTGTTTATGTAAGAGAGAGCATGTGAGGCGCCTTTTGTAACCAGATTGACAAGATAGGTTATCGAAGGCTCACCTACTTCCGATGGTTGTTTATGGGACTCAATGTTTTTACTAGGCTCTGTGGGCTCTTTTCATAGGTCCCATGTTTCACGTGTCGCGAAATGATTGGCTGGTCAGATATAGTATAAACAAGGAAAACTTTTAGGAAAATCGTGAAATAGGTCTAGAGTGCATGAGTCGTTATTCCATGTGGATTTGTCACTTCTTCAGCCACTTACGACTCTTTGGATTTCAATAGAGGACGCAATGCCAACTTCTCCTTGGGATCAAGTTTCTTTCTTTTTTAAAAATATTTGCGAGCAATCTCCCTTTTCCTTTCGAAAAATGGTGAAATTATTCACAATATATGATTATGTTAATGTATTCAATGAAATGCATTATAGAACTTAACCTCCTTATTCGAATTCGAGCCTAAAATCACTAGCCTCCTTATTTGAGTCCGAGTCTGCAAATCAAGTACTTTTTCTACTGAACTAAGACCTATTGGCAAAACTTCAAAACATGTACTGGGCTAAGACCCTGTTGGCAACCTTTTATTTTGATTTAATACCCTCATTGAACCCCTCAAAACTTGAAAATATGCAAAACTTATCTCCGTAGCTCCATGGATGTGTAGATGCCTATAGAGCTGACTGATCTAGGCGTTTAAAGGTTGTATGAAGGCAATAGAAAACGTTGAGACGTCAAGCTTTTGCCACATGACTCACCTGAGTTGGATAAGAATCTAATATTAATACTTACATTAATACTTAAACCATAATCTCAAATGACAATCCGAGTCCAGGAATTACGACAGGACACTAATGTGCAAGTGAAGTACAAGTACAATTGCATAATATCTTGTATAGAAACAAAAGAAAATCGGCGCGTACAACCGGCACTTATTACATTGGAGCTACAGGTCACATTACATATGAAATTTAGTATAACACTTTCAAAGGATAAACAATTTAACTGATTCATCCTCCCATATTGTCCTTTTACTATGTCTTCTTGCCCGCTGCTGGAAACTCAAACATCTGACTTGGCATAACCCTCAAATGCTTGGCCTCACATTGAGACGGGATGCGAGCTTTTGACCCAGAGATTTATCTGCCTGCATTGCCAATACAAAGCATAAAACATCAGAACAACATGGCTGCTTTATTCTAATACTAACCCTTCATATTCCAGTATAACATTATAAAGTTACTTAACTGTACAAATTCAGAAATGCAATAAATTATAAATAGACTCACCTGAGACCAGTATGAGATCCAAATGCTGCGAATCTCATGGGTGACACGTGGGTCTGATAAGGCATCCACCCATCGGCAGATGAATCGCTCTTGCCTGCATGAAGATACACGATTAAAAACAAGTATGATGTTTTTTTTTTTTTGGGGCAGACAACTATGATGTTTAAATACAATTATTTTCATATAGAGACATCATAGGGTTGCCAGGTACCTGTCTGGCGCCCAAGATCTGTATCTCTCTCCAGGTTGCTTAAAGTTGTTCTCCTTCTCAATGATGCACTGAATAACCAAAAAAACCAACATACTCAAATATACAAAAAGTTGCCATAGGAATTATTATGTGCAGCAACCTAGGAAAATCCAGAAATGCAATCGGTACATATGTATACCTACACTAGTGTATGTGCCCGGGTGACTAAAAAAAGGGAGAGCTGGAAGAAAAGATAATGTACAGAAGAGATGGGGAAACTAAGGTATATTCAAAGCAATATTCCTCAATTGATAGATACTGACCTTCTCACGCTTTCCAGAAAGGATATTAGGAGGAATGGGGAAGCGCTCAGCATTACGAACAGGATCATACCTTGAAGGGAAGTAATTAACCTGAAGATAACAGTATAGCAACTCATCAGAGAGAACTCAAATGAATAAACAAGCATACAATTGGAGTTGTCCTCCCAGAATATTGAGCAATCCAAGTATACAAGGGCCAAAGGGATTCCATATGAGACATAACAATTGAGTAAAATAATAATACCTCCTCATCCCTGTGCATGAAATTCATGAATCCCTCATGATGATTGTTATGATGAGAACACTTGGGAGCATTCACTGGGAGCTGCAGATAGTTCGGGCCAAGACGGTGCCTCTGAGTATCAGAATAGGAGAAGATTCGAGTTTGGAGCAACTTATCATCTGAATAGTAAACACCAGGGACAACAATGGCAGGGCAAAATGCAAGTTGTTCATTCTCTGCAAAGAAGTTATCAATGTTTTTATTCAGAACCAGACGGCCAACTGGCTGCAGAGGAAGAATATCTTCAGGCCAGGTCTTAGTTACATCAAGTGGGTCAAAGTCAAATCTGTCCTCATGATCAGGATCAATTGTCTGAATATAAAGTTTCCACTCAGGGTAGTTGCCAGCTGCAATGGAATCATAGAGATCCTTGGTAGCATGGCTGTGATTAGCTCCTCCAACCTTAATAGCTTCATCCTCCAACAAACACTTGACTCCACAAGTAGGTTTCCAATGAAATTTCACATACTGTGCTTTCCCTGCCTTATTGATAAGGGTATAGGTGTTAACACCAGAGCCTTCCATGTGCCTGTAATCTTGTGGAACTCCCAGATCATCAAATAGGAAGGTGAACATGTGCAGGCTTTCTGGGTGGTGGGAGAAGAAGTCAAGGATCCTCCAAGGCTCTTGAATGTGCGACTTGGGGTTCGGTTTGAGAGCATGGACCATGTCCGGGAATTTCATTCCATCACGAACAAAAAAGACAGGGAAATTGTTTCCAACCAGGTCAAAATTACCCTGTGTTTAAGAAGAACAAAGTCACCACATGAGTATTCACTACACAGCAAAATAAACCTGAATAAAGTCGTATATAGTGAATAATAATGTTACCAAGAAATCAACCATCTGTATAAGCATCTAGATTACAGATGGTATGCTACATGAGCAATCTTTTACAGCCAGGTGACTACCCCCATTATTAAAGGAAAATGAAAAGGCAAAGAAAAGAAAGGAATGGATGCAATCTTTCATCAAAGTCACAAGATTGCATAATTTCCAACAACTATAATTAGTCAAATATGAATTGAGTACTTCATATTTTGTCACCACAGCCACCTCAGCTGCCACTACAGACACCAATACATATCCACTAAATATGCCGATGCTATTGAAAAAATAAATAAATAACACATTGATAATATAAAGGTAAAAACCTCACCTCTCTGGTGTAAAACTTCACTGCAAAACCACGAGGATCCCTCAGGGTTTCAGGGCTGCCACGCTCATGGATAACAGTGGAGAAACGCACAATGACAGGTGTCTGAACACCAGGGGCTCGAAGGAAGTCGGCACATGTAAGCTGAGAAATATCATGAGTGACCTCAAAGAATCCCTTCGCACTGGCTCCCCTAGCATGGACAACACGCTCTGGGATTCGTTCTCTATCAAAGTTGGCAATTTTCTCCACCAGATGATAGTCCTCAAGGAGAATTGGGCCTGACAAATAGACACAGAAATTTAATTAGGAACTGCACCGACTCAACTCACCATATTTAAGCATCTAGATTACATGCAAAAATAGGTTAAAAATGAAATTAGTTGTTATACATTCCAGGAAATCAAATAAAGATGATTGCTGCTTGGTTGCAAATATTCGTAATTTTTATTTAAATTTAGAAGGGAGGTTTTCAGACAACCAGATGATCAAAAAATCCATCTTGACAACCTAAAAGGAGGCTGGAGGAATTAAAAGAGAACCAACAGTGCGGGAGAATCATTTTTCAACTAAAGTAAGCATAAAATTTTAAAATAAATGTCAATAGGAAAAGGATCAGCTTCAAATACAAGATATATAAGTATATATATACATATCTTAAATCCCACAAGCGTTTCCAAAGATTAATCATCCTCAACATGGTAGTGGGTGGGAATAACATCCAAAAAGCAGTTTACAGCTCATAATCACATGAATATCAAAATCTTGTTCAGAAAAGTTGAGAAAACCATCACAAAAATTCAAAACCCAGGTAAGCGAAGAACCAATGATAACAAAGATGAATATATACACACAAATAGTGAATAGCATCATAAGATAGATTGGTGAGGAAGCGCAACTAAAAAAACAATAAAAAAAATAAAAAATAAACTGTGTTGCAATTGAAAACCCAGCATCAATCAACGAAGAGTTGTGATGAATTACCTCTAGATCCAACAGTCAAAGAAGAGTTGTTGTTCCAAACTGGAGCACCGGAGTTTGTGGTCCAGAAAGGGGAATCAAAAGCACTTGAAGGGCGGTACTGCAACATACACAACGAAAACGAAACAAGACCATGATGAGCTAAAAGAACAACAAACACAAAATTTCGAGCTACGCTTAAATGACCAATCTGATTGATCAAGAAGATTAATTCATCAAGAAATCAAACTTAAACAAATCAAGAAATATTGAGATTAGGACAGGGAAATGAGTACCTTGTAAGGATCCATGGAGAGAGAGAGGGGGGAGAAGGAGTTTGATAAGAAGGTGAGAAAGCAGAGCAAAGCCACCCAAAGGGAAGGTCGTGTGGCAAATGAGAATCCAAGAGCGTAATGTCAAATTGGGGAATTTATAAACAATTGTGGGTCGTGGGCGTGGCTCGCGCTTCTGCGCAAATTACCAACCTCAGCCGGTTATCTTTATCCAGACAGAGTGGAAGGTCAAGAGAAGAGAAGACATATCTTTGCCAATTTAGCGTCGCGAGTCAGAACGATTCTCGCCAAACCTGTCAACGAAACATTCTTGTTTGTATGCACAATTGTGGCAAAACGTGCTTCACTCACTTCAAATCTTTTACAACCAATTTTATGAGGAGGGCTTTTTTTCAACCAATATATACAATTTTATGAGATTATTGTCCTCATACTAATTTTATACTAATGTATTGCTATTTATCATTTTCAAAAGATTATTCACTGTCACGCTGAATTTATCATCCGTATATGATTAAGAAATAACAAGTTTCACGATGAACTAGAAAAATCCCTCAAACAAGTTAAATTTAACATTAGCATCAGTTTTTGGAAAGAAAAAAAAAAAGACCTCAACTTAAAGATTGTTGATTTGTCATATAAGTGAGTTGTTATATTATTTGATTTAGATTTCATAAAATGGGGGGTAAATGTACAGATTCCAAATGTAGAAACTCGATATTCGTCTGCCATCAATATCACTTTATGAATGAAAATCTAGAATACTAAACTAAAATTATACTTCTTCACAAAAATTGCATCAAAACATGAGGATAAATTGATGTTCATCCGTGCATTGACCAAGCACAATATATCGTGAAGATATTCGATATATTGAAAACCTCGCCGATATAAATGTAGGAAGGCTAAACGATGGGAGCAACAAAGATTATTTTTATGGCAAAAAATTCAACAACAACAACGAACAAACAAACAAACAAAAAGAGAAAAAAAAGAGGAGGCAAAATTGAAAATAATTGAGAACGTCATGCATTCATCGTTCCTTATCCAGGTCTTGGAGCTTTGCTAACACTTCGGCGCAACCACTCATGGCAGTGGCGGGTATGGGTGACGTGGTCCACTCACAAGACGCCACGACTACCAAAGTGTACCTTGAAATGTGTGCTCTTAGAAAATAGCACAGAGATTCTCTCACAGGGGATATGCTTGAAATTTATGAACCAAGAAAAAAGACTGGAAGAGGCTGTTTTTTGTTGTTGTTTTGTTTGTGTGAAAGCTGCCAAAACAGCAAATATGCTGATAAGGTTAGATGGGCCGTGAGCTCAGATTAGCCACAAAGACTGTTTCTCTCTGGGCCCAATGTCTTTTTCTACGGGATTTTCTTTTTTATTTATCAATATTTTAACAATTTTTTTTTATGAAGCTCCACAATGAACAAATTTTGAAGGTACTTGATGTTAGTTAGAGAACCTCTATGTCTAGTCTAGGGGAACTATGAGTTGAAGGAAGCTTTGAGGTATGCTCATGTGACCCTACTTCTTGTTCTTTATGCATAAACATATTCAAGTTGCATGTTCAAGGCTTGGCATCTAATCATTATACTGATCATCTATAATAAATAATAAAACAAAAAAACTATGTAACTAGGCGTTGATGCAATAAGAACTTAAGCATTAGCTTCATGTATGTAGGAAAAGTAGCAAATAATTTCAATTGTAAAATTAATGTGGAAGTGTAGGGATGAGTACAAGCATTTCGAAGTAAACACATGTTAGTGTAATAATGTTGGTGTAACAACAATTAGAAGGGTTGCTTTGGTTTCTTTTTCTTGTTAATGCCGTTTGACTGGTTGTGTAGTCTCAGTGGTTCTTTGACCTCTCTTTTGGTCTTTTTAATGAAAGTTCATCTTTACCCAAAAAAAAAAAAAAACAACAACAACAATTTAGAAGGGTTGCAATTAGATAGGCTTGCTAGCCTCCAAGAGGTGCAAGACTATCTTTTGATTAAAGTTCAAGCTCCCAAGTCCAAATTTGGGGCACCAACTAGCCTATCTCATTGCAGGCGCTTAATATTTTCGCTTCCTGCACTTGAAGGGATTGGCGCAGTGCTTCACTAGTAAAATTTGTAATAGCTTAAGACTTCCCTAGTATCATTTAGTAGTTACAAATCACTTTACTTCGCCAGTAGTGAGTCCCAATATCGGCTGAATTTCTCTTTCACCATTATTAGTCTGTCAGTAAAAGCTAAAATTGTAGTAGTGTAAGCTAATTCTTGATTTACTGTAATTATTCCCTTATTGGTTAAAACTTAAAATCATCGAAGAAAATCAGAGCACCCTCTAAGAACTTCACCCTTTAAGAGTGCATTGAGGCAAACCTAAAAAAATTCATCATCATCATCATCATCATCATCATCTTGTCGCGCTTCTTGAATCCACCATAGGAGATTTTAGTTTGGCCCTCTGGATGTCCTCTTTTGTGGTCTTTATGCACCGCTTCTTGGGGCTCATCACTTGAGCTCCCAAAGATCACTCTCTTAGCTTCAGCAAAACTTCCGTCGTGATCTCGCTTGCGTTTCCCTGGGATCTCCAAAGCCTCCAGCTGTTTTTGCATCTCTTTAGAATAAGAAGTTACCATCTTTGATAACTTTTCATTTTCTGCCTGCAATATTTGAAGCTGGAATTGATTCTCCTATGTTGTCTTTGCCATATTCTTTTTCAATCTTTTGATGTCATGTTGATATTCATCAACCAAATTCTGCTATGCCACCAACTGAGCTCTCAGTACTTGCACCTCATAAGATTTTGCAATGAGGCGATGTCCCACACCTGCGATAGTTGTCGCATTTTGCACGCTCAATGCCACGACATCGCTCACTAACCAGTTGTCATCCTTCGTTCCCAGTATGCGTACATCCCTGAGAGTCACCAAACTCCTCGCAACTCCAATGGTAGCCTCGTTGTCAAGGAGTAACGAGTTGCTTTCTGTCACTGGTCCTTATGAAGAAGCAAAGTAGGGCATCCAGACCGATGCAACTCCTTGCCCCCATGTCTGTGTTGGCGGAGCTAGTTTAAGATCCAGAGAAGATGGGAAGGGATATGACATTTTCTTTCTGCTTTCTTTTTCTCTCTTTTCTCTTTCTTCTTTCCTTTCTCTTTTTTTTCTTTCTTTTCTCTCTTCTGCGTGGTTGTAATTCTTCTTTTTCCTTCATTTCCTTTAATAGATGAACCCTAGCACCACTGCACCGTCTAATTTTTCCGCATTCCTCGAGCTCCACAGCCTTCTCGCTTTCCACCGTCTACAACTTTGTCGCGACTTGTGCAAAGTCGTACCTACTTTCCATGGCGCCCGTAATTTCCGCTTGTGGATTTGTCATACCTCTGCGCGTCGACACGTGTCTCCTCTCTCTAGGGGTGGGCATTGGATTTGTGGTTCAAATTGATTTAGGGTTAATTAAAATAAAATGGCAGCCCTAGAAACAGTGACCAAGTATCTATCCCATATGACATAAAACATTTAAAAACATCCATGGGACTATATTTAAAAAATCAACATGATAATGTTTAATTGGATTATATAATGTGTTTTGTTTTGTTTAGTTAGATTATAAAATGTTTAAGTTTCTGTTTTTTTTATTTATTTATAAATACATCCATGGGACTTCTTTCGGTTCAAGGTTCCATTTTTTAAGAAAACCGGTCCAAACCGGACTGTGCCCGCTCCTCTCCCTCTCTCTCTCTCTCTCTCTCTCTCTCTCTCTCTCTCTCTCTCTCTCTCTCTCTCTCTCCCTCTTTTCTTTCTTTTCCTTATATTTTCTCTCCTCTCTGTTTTTTTATTTAAAATTTTTCAATTGTAAGTTTTGTAACATGCATGTTATTTTATTTATGACTCCATTACACGACTCGAAATCCGCATGGAAAAAAGACGACTCAAACCCGACAAGACTTGTTTATTAAATGGGTTGGATTCGGGTTGAGCATTCTTGACACGTTTGTTAAATGGGTTGGGTTAAATAAATCAATGACAGCATAAAATGAACACAGGGTTTGTGAAAAAGGTGATATTTTCAATGACTATATTAATAAATCTTTATTCTTTGAGTAGTTAGATTTTTGCATAAAGCTTACCTTCCTCAACTGATAGCTGCATTGATCTTTTCTCTAGCTCAACGGCATGTCTACTAAGCTCAGATGGCGATAATTGACCAAGCGCTGATAACATGATGAACAAAGAGCATTTTCAGTGCTGGCAAAACTAAAGGCAGAAAAATTGGTATGAAATTTTTTAAATTGAAACAGCAGTGCCATAATGCAATGACCTACTCTGGATGTATTCTCTCTGATCAGAATCATCAAATTGCTTCAAGAGGTTCTACATATGTAGAACCCTTCTGTCCTTTGCTCATCATGGTTCTTCTCAGAACCAACCAAGTGAGGAACCAGAGATTCAGGAGTGAATCTAAGTTGCCTGGAATGAGCAGTTGGCAATCCATTACTGGCCTTTCCAAGAAACATTGGAACAGGTGGTTTACCAGGTGAAAAATCTACCGGAGAAGCCAAGGGCATTGGTGCGAACGCAGATGTCTCATGTTCCTGCTTCTTGGTTCTGTCTCTAGGTAGGTCTTGCTGCTTTTGCAAACAAATCGTTTGAAATTGAGAGAGTAAGTATTTTGTTCTGTCACATCTTGAACTCTTCGCTTGCCTAGTGCTGAATCTAACTTCCTCGCACCACCACCATGCATGAGCTGATCACTTGCACCTCTAATGCTCGTGAATTGATGACAAGGGGAGCTCCGTGGCAACTCAGGGTTGAGTATCTTAGTTCCCAAAACCTTAGTGGGATCCGCGACTGGTCGTCCTAGAAAAACATTCTTGTTAGGGTTAGAGGTCCGTCAGAGTAGTCATTAGCTGCTAATCAACCCGGGAGAGAGAGAGGGAGAGAGAGAGGATAGCAAAGAAGAAATGTAGAGTGTTTTTTTTCCTAATCTTATAATTAAGCGTGTGTTATCTAAATCGGGATATATAAGTTGTATTAGTTAGTCGGGTAATGAGAGTATTAAAAACTTAATCTGTTTATTATATTCCAGTAATTAAATAATACAAGTTGACATCAAACAATTGACATTGACTATTTACTCATATCCAGAGTCTAATACCAGGTACCAAACATACTGTACGAGCTTTTGCCACATGACTCATCTAACATGACAATCCAAGTCCACAAACACAAGCATACACACTAAGACAGGACACTAATATGCATGTGAACTACAAGAACGACTGCATAATATCTTGTATAGAAACAAGAGAAAATCGGCACATACAACCGGCGCTTATTACATTGGAACTACAGTTCACATTACATACCAAATTTAGTATAACACTGCTAGGAATTCAAACATTTGACTTGGCATAACCCTCAAATGCTTGGCCTCACATTGAGACGGGATGCGAGCTTTTGACCCAGAGACTTATCTGCCTGCATTGCCAATACAAGCACATAACATCAGAACAACATGGCTTATTCTAAAACTAACCCTTCATATTCCAGTATCACATCATCAAGTTGCTTAACTGTACAAATTCACAAATGCAATAATTTATAAATAGACTCACCTGAGACCAGTATGAGATCCAAATGCTGCGAATCTCATGGGTGACACGCGGGTCTGATAGGGCATCCACCCATCGGCGGATGAATCGCTCTTGCCTGCATGAAGATGCAAGATTAAGAACAATGTTTAAATACAATTATTTTCATACAGAGACATCATAGGGTTGCCGCCAGGTACCTGTCTGGCGCCCAAGATCTGTATCTCTCTCCAGGTTGCTTAAAGTTGTTCTCCTTCTCAATGACACACTGAATAACCAAAACAAAGTTCCCATATGAATTATTATGTGCAGAAAACAAGGGAAATCCAGAAATGCAATCGGTACATATGTATACACACCTACACTAGTGTATGTGCCCAGGTGACAGAAAAAGGGACACAGCTGGAAGAAAAGATGATGTACAGACGAGACGGGGAAACTAAGGTATATTATTTAAAGCAATATTCCTCAATTGATAGAAACTGACCTTCTCACGCTTTCCATAAAGGATATTAGAAGGAATGGGGTAGCGCTCAGCATGACGAACAGGATCATACCTTGAAGGGAAGTAATTAACCTGAAGATATCAGTATAGCAACTCATCAGAGAAAACTCAAATGAATAAACAAGCATACAATTGGAGTTGTCCTCCCAGAATATTGAGCAATCTAAGTATACAAGGGCCAAAGGGATTCCATATGAGACATAACAATTGAGTAAAATAATAATACCTCCTCATCCCTGTGCATGAAATTCATGAATCCCTCATGGTGATTGTTATGATGAGGACACTTGGGAGCATTCACTGGGAGCTGCAGATAGTTCGGGCCAAGACGGTGCCTCTGAGTATCAGAATATGCGAAGATTCGAGTTTGGAGCATCTTATCATCTGAATAGTAGACACCAGGGACAACATGGGCAGGGTTAAACGCAAGTTGTTCATTCTCTGCAAAGAAGTTATCAATGTTTTTATTCAGAACCAGACGCCCAACTGGCTGCAGGGGAAGAATATCTTCAGGCCAGGTCTTAGTTAAGTCAAGAGGGTCAAAGTCAAATCTGTCCTCGTGATCAGGATCCATTGTCTGAATATAAAGTTTCCACTCAGGGTAGTTGCCAGCTGCAATGGAATCATAGAGGTCCTTGGTAGCATGGCTGTGATTAGCTCCTCCAACCTTAATAGCTTCATCCTCCAACAAACACTTGACTCCACAAGTAGGTTTCCAATGAAATTTCACATAGTGTACTTTCCCTGCCTTACTGATGAGGGTATAGGCGTGAACACTAGAGCCTTCCATGTGCCTGTAATCTTGTGGAACTCCCAGATCATCATAAAAGAAGGCGAACGTGTGCAGGCTTTCTGGAAGGTGGGAGAAGAAGTCAAGGATCCTCCAAGTCTCTTGGATGTGCGACTTGGGGTTCGGTTTGAAAGCACGGATGGCGTCCGGGAATTTCATTGCATCACGGACAAAAAAGACGGGGAAATTGTTTCCAACCAGGTCAAAATTACCCTGCGTTTAAGAAGAACAAAGTCACCACATGAGTAATTACTACACAGCAAAATAAACCCGAATAAATTCGTATATGGTGAATAATGCTACATGAGCAATCTATTACAGCCAGACGACTACCCCCCATAGCTTAAAGGAAAATGAAAAGGCAAAGCTAAGAAAGGAACGAATGCAATCTTTCATTAAAGTCACGAGACTGCAAGATTTCCAATAACTATAATTAGTCAAATATGACTGGAGTACTTCAGATTTTGTCACCACAGCAACCTCAGCTGCCACTACAGACACACCAATACAAATCCATTAAATATGCCTATGCTATTGAGAAAATAAATAAAACATTGATAATATATAGGTAAAAACCTCACCTCTCTGGTGTAAAACTTCACTGCAAAACCACGAGGATCCCTCAGGGTTTCAGGGCTGCCACGCTCATGGATAACAGTGGAGAAACGCACAATGACAGGTGTCTGAACACCAGGGGCTCGAAGGAAGTCAGCACAAGTAAGCTGAGAAATATCATGAGTGACCTCAAAGAATCCCTTTGCACTGGCTCCCCTAGCATGGACAACACGCTCTGGGATTCGTTCTCTATCAAAGGTGGCAAGTTTCTCCACCAGATGATAGTCCTCAAGGAGAACTGGACCTGAAAAATAGAAACAGAAATTTAATTCGGAACTGCACCGACTCAACTCATCATATTTAATCATCTAGATTACATGCAAAAATAGCATAAAAATGAAATTAATTGTTATGCATTCCAGAACATAAAATAAAGATGACTGTTGTTCGGTTGCAAATATTTGTAATTTTTATTTAAATTTAGAAGGTAGGGTTTCAGACAACCAGATTATCTTGACAACCCAAAAGGAGGCTGGAGGAATTAAACGAGAACCAACAGAGCGGGACAATCACTTTTCAACTAAAGTAAGCAGAAAATTTTAAAATAAAGGGTTTACTACCGAAATACTCCTTGAACTTGTAGCTCACTTTCAATTAGCCCCCTATCCTCTTTTTTTAGAAAATTAAGGATAATAACTTTTTTTTCCGCCAATTTCCCCCCTACCGTCTAAATTCTCAACATTTCATTCAATTTGCTGTTAAATATAAGGGCATATTGGTCATTTCAAACATTAAAAATAATAAATATAGAAATAAAAATTAAAAAAATTAAAAAAATTAAACATTGAAATAATAATGATATATTTGACAGCCACCAACATCACACCCTCTCTTCGATCTCTTCCCCCCTCCTTCTCTTCAACATCCACCAACGTCACCATCCTCCACCCTCTGTCTCTTCTCCCCCCATATGCCCACCCCCTCCTCCTTTTCCCTCCCACTCTCTCTTTTTGCGTCTCTCTCTCCCCTGCCATGGTTACAGAGAGGAAAACAAAATTTAATAATAAACATCTTGATATGTTTTGGGTGGCTGTTTAGGATTTTGATATTGAATTTTTTTTTCTTTGGTAGCTGTTTGGGTTTCCTGGGGGGTAAGGTGAGGTTAATAATAAAGATCTTGAAATTTTTTCGGTGGCTATTTAGGGTTTTGATCTTGAATATATTTTTTTTTTTTGGGTGGCTGTTTGAGTTTTCTGGGAGGTGGGTTGTGGATGTCGAAGAAAGAGGGAGACAGAAGGAGGAGGGGGAGGGTGAAGGGTGGGCGGTGATGATGTCTGTGAAGAGAGAGAATGGGGAAGAGAGAGGAGAGAGACACACACACACACTTTGTAGAGAACAAAAGGAAGAAAAACAAAAAAGAAGATCAAAACCCTAAAGCCTAAGGGAATAGGGCGATGCGAGAGAGAGAGAGAGAGAGAGAGAAGGAGGTTGACCTCGGGAGAAGCATCAGGCAGAGGAGGAGGGGGAGAAAAAAACCAGAGGGGAGGGGGAAGAAAAAAAACTGAGGAGATAAGGTTTTATTTTGTGTTATCTTTTTCTTCTTGTTTTCCAAATATTTTTTTAATGATTTAATAGAAAATTAGATGAAATGTTGAGATGTAGACGGCAAGGGGAAATTAGCCAAAAAACAAGAAGTTTATATCCTTAGTTTTCTATAATAAAAAAAAAGATAGGGGGTTAATCGAAAATTAAGTACAAGTTCATGGGACAAATCACCAGTATACCTTAAAATAAATGTCAATAGAAAAAGGATCAGCTTCCAATACAAGATATATAAGTACGTATATATATACATATCTTAAATCCCAAAGGCGTTTCCAAAGATTAATCATCCTCAACCTGGTAGTGGGCGGGAATAACATCCAAAAAGCAGTTTACATCTCATAATCACATGAATTTCAAAATCTTGTTCAGAAAAGTTGAGAAAACCATCACAAAAATTCAAAACCCAGGTAATCCAAGAACCTATGATAACAAAGATAAATATATGCACACAAATAGTGAACAGCATCATAAGATAGATAGATGATGAAGCGCAACTAAAAAAAAAAAACAACCGGGTTGCAACTGAAAGCCCAGGATCAATCAACGAAGAGTTGTGATGAATTACCTCTAGGTCCAACAGTCAAAGAAGAGTCGTTGTTCCAAACTGGAGCACCGGCGTTTGTGGTCCAGTATGGGGAATCAAAAGCACTTGAAGGGCGGTGCTGCAACATACACAACGAAAACGAAACAAGACCATGATGAGCTAAAAGAACAACAAACACAAAATTTCGAGCTACGCTTAATGACCAATCTGATTGATCAAGAAGATTAATTCACCAAGAAATCAAACTTAAACAAATCAAGAAATATTGAGATTAGGACAGGGAAATGAGTACCTTGTAAGGATCCATGGAGAGAGAGATGGGGAGAAGAAGAAGGGAGTTTGATAAGAAGGTGAGATAGCAGAGATAAGCCACTCAAAGGGAGGGTCCTGTGGCAAATGAGAATTGAAGAGTGACATGTGAAATAGGGGAATTTATAAACACTTGTGGGTCGTGGAAGGTCCCTCGAGCTTCTGTGCAGATTACCAATCTCAGCAGGTTATGTTTATCCAAACACACAGTGGAAGGTCAAGAGAAGAGAAAACATATCTTTGCCAATTTAGCGTCGCGAGTCAGAACGATTCCCGCCAAACTTTTCAATTGAAAAGTAAAAGAGATTAAAATGAGTAAAAAGGAGTAGAAACACCATAATTGACTGTGTAATTATAAAATTTATGGAATCGTCTTTTTATTTTTCAAAATTTGTGAACATATTATCGCTAAATAATGAACACAAAAATTGATTTAAATATAATGTTGGTGTTGATTGCAATTAATAGCTAAGAGCATTCACAATGGACTCTCTAAACCACCTCCTTAAACAAATTTTATGGAAGAATTCGAAAAGTACAACTTCAAACATGCCCTCCATATCCACCTCCTAAAATAGGGAGACCTCTAGGAACTTCTAAATCTGAGGAGAAAGAAAAGACTTCTGACTCCCTATAATTTAATGATGTTTTATTTAATGAGTATTTCAAACTTGTAATTAATGCTAACTATTTTTTATATTATTTTTAAATATAAATGGACCAATTAAAAAAAAAAAAAAAAAGCTAAAACATTTATGACTCTCTAAATTAGGGAGTATGGTTGGAGTTGAAATTTTTTAAAGAGCTCATAAAATAGTTTTTTTGTATTTTTACCTAAATTTTAGCTAAAAAATAGATAGTATCATTGTGGATGCTCTATCTATAGAGATTTGATTGAAACAATTAAAAACATTTCACGGCGAACAACAATGGCAAGACAAAATGCAAATTGTTAATCTGATTATTGTTCTTAATTGAATTATTAATTTTTGTTAATATTTTATTTTACTTAAGAAAAATAAAGTCATTCGTATATCTCACATTATCATTGAACTGGTTTCAAGACAACAAATTTAACAACAAATGCCAAACCTCTATATTTAGGATCTGTGCATTTAACCGCATTTTGTGAAATTTAAGTCACTCAAATAATCTAACCATTTAATATATGACACATCATCAATCTTTAATCTAAGATTTTTTTTTTTTCAACATTGAAGCTAACTTTAAAGGTGTTTAACTAAAACACCAAAAATGGGGGTTGAAATTATAAAAAAACCCAAGCACTATTTAAACATATAAACACACCAAAAACCCATCATTACACACACTCAAAACCTATTTATAAACACACCCAAAAAGTTGACTTTGGGGTTGATTTTGGGTGTGTTTCTATGTTTAAATAGTGTTTGGGTTTTTTTATAAATACATGTCTAGGATTGAGTTTATTTATAAATTTGTAATATTTTTTTCATCATGCTTCCTCCTTGAAAAAACTGTAAATAAAATTAATTTATTGCTATTTACCTCCGGTTTATAGATCGAACCCTAAAGCACAAAGTGAACTTCAGCACTTTGATTTTCTAGTCACAAAAATCGAGCAAATCATGTAATTAAGAAATTAAGAAATAACAGATATTAAGATGAACTAAAAATCTCAAGCACGTTTACTTTAATGTTAGCATCAATTTTTGGAAAGAAAAAAAAAACAGGACTTTAACTTAAAGATTGATGATGTGTCATACAAGTGGTTAGATATTTAGTTTAAATTTCACGGATAAATGCACGGATTCTAAATGTAGAAATTCGATATTCATATGGCATAAATATCACTTCATGATTGAAAATCCAAAATACTAAACTAAAATTATATTTCTTCACAAAAATTGCATCTAAACATGAGGATAAAATGATGTTCATCCGTACATTGAACAAGCACAATATATCGTGAACAATATATTCGATATATTGAAAACCTCCATATTCATGTAGGAAGGCTAATCAATGAGACCAATAAAGAATTATTTTTAGGGAGTTTCACTAAAACATTCAAAATGGGGGTTGAAATTATAAAAAAACCCAAGCACTATTTAAATATATAAACACACCCAAAATCCATCATTATACACACTTAAAACCTATTTATAAACACACCCAAAAAGTTGACTTTGGGGTTGATTTTGGGTGTGTTTCTATATTTAAATAGTGCTTGGGTTTTTTTTATAAATACATGTCTGGTATTGGGTTTATTTATAAATTTGTATTATATTTAGGGTCATGTTAGAGAGATTAACTTTAGATGTCAACTTGTGTATCTCTCTAATAAAGGTGGAGCCCACCAATACAATCTATTAAAAAGATGGTATACAAGTTAGTATCTAAAGTTGATGTTCCTAATATTTTTCTTATTTTTAATGGCAAAAACTTCAACCACCAAAAAAATAATAATAATAAACAAAAAAGGAGGCCTGGAAAATTATTATTATCATAATCGTGGTGGGACCAAAATTGAAAATAATTGAGAACGTCATGCATTCATCATTCCTTATCCAGATCTTGGAGCTTTGCTAACACTTGGGCGCAATTACTTATGGCAGGGGATATGCTTGAAGTTTATAAAAACACAGACAAAATAAATAAATATAAATAAAAAACTGGAAGAGGCTATTTTTAGGTGTCGTTTGTGCGAAAGCTGCCAAAACAGGAAATATGCTGATAAGGTTAGAATGGGCCCGACCTCAGATTAGGCCACAATGAGTGCGATTCTCTGGGCCCACTTCAAAATTGGATACTTAAAACACGAAAAAGAAAAATCACTGAACTCTGGGCTCGCTCAATGTCTTTTTTCCACAGGACTGTTACTTGTCAATGCTGATGTTGTAAAGTCAAGAATGTGGAGCCAAAAATAATAGAACCTAATTGATTGAAGATGAATAATGGTAAAGCTTGTCTGCCAACACTCACGTGAAGCCAAAGAAATATGAGTAAGCAGCCACCGAATTCTTCCTACACATAAGGCTTCCCCCTACATACCTTCTGAGAAGAAATGAGAGCCCATGTATAGAATAAAGAAAGGAAGGAAAGAAAGAGGGTGAATGAGTGGAGAGAAAATGAGATCTGAGAGATATTCTCCAAGAGAGAAGATACATATATTATAAACACTAAAATTGTAGCTTTTTTTTTTTTTTACATAGTGGAAAAGTTACTGCTGCTGCTCGCCGAGGATGTAGGCAAGACCGAACCTCGTTAAATATTGTGTCTCATTTACTTTACACGCAGCTCAATATTCCAGCATATCCAGTTCATTTTGCAACAACTAACAATATTTTTTTTTTTATTTTTTTATTTTTAACGGAGCTCCACAAAGAACAAATTTTGAAGGTGATTGTCATGGTAATTACTTGATGTTAGAGAACCTCTATGTCCAGGGGAACTATGAGTTCAAGGAAGCTTCGAGTTATACTCATATGACCCTTGAACTCTTCAATTGTAACATTAGCTTCATGTATGTAGGAAAAGTAGCAAATAATTTCAATTGTAAATTTAATGTGGAAGCGTAGGAACGAGTACAAACATTTGGAAGTAAACAAGTTAGCATAATAATGTTGGTGTAACAACAATTTGAAGGGTTGCAAATTATATAGGCTTGCTAGAAAATTCTAACATCCGTTATAATGGATAAAAATGGTTGCTCTTGTTGGAGCAATTACATTACAACATCTTCTGCCGTGGAAAAAACACATAAAACATAAAATAAAAATAAAAAAAGAGAGAGATAACAAATTATCTGGTAAGAGTAGACTACCTCCTGTTGCTCTTGTTGGAGGGGAAAAAGCAATGAGGGGCATATTACAGTAGAAGAAGAGTCAGCATCAACTTCACAGCTAACAATTCCCGAGCTGTAAAGTAACCTCAAGGTATTTGGGAGAGTTCATTGTGCTGGCCATCACCAAAACCATCATATCAATGTATTTTGAATCTTTAATCCCTTTCCACTTGTTGGACTGAACAAGCTCAAATTGCCTATAAAAAATTGCTTGTCATTGAAGACTTCCCCAATATATTTAGAGCCATCATCCTTTGGATCTCTTTTGCTGCATGATGCATTGATCACTAGAGTTAAATAAATCAATGACAGAGCCATAAAATGAACACAGGGTTTGTGAAAAAGGTGATATTTTCAATGACTATATTAATAAATATTTATTCTTTGAGTAGTTAGATTTTTGCATAAAGCTTACCTTCCTCAACTGATAGCTGCATTGATCTTTTCTCTAGCTCAACGGCATGTCTGCTAAGCTCAGATGGCGATAAATAACGAAGCGCTGATAACATTATGAACAAAGAGCATTTTCAGTGCTGGCAAAATTAAAGGCAGAAAAGTTGGTATGAAATTTTTTAAATTGAAACAGCAATGCCATAATACAATGACCTACTCTGGATGTAATCTCTCTGATCAGAATCATCAAATTGCTTCAAGAGGTTCTGCAAATGTAGAAACCCTTCTGTCCTTTTCTCATCATGGTTCTTCTCAGAACCAACCAAGTGAGGAACCAGAGATTCAGGAGTGAATCTAAGGTGCCTGGAATGAGCAGCTGGCAAACCATTACTGGGCTTTCCAAGAAAAATTGGAACTGGTGGTTTACCAGGTGAAAATTTAACCGGAGAAGCCGAAGGCATTGGTGCAAACGCAGATGTCTCATGTTCCTGCTTCTTGGTTCTGTCTCTAGGTAGATCTTGCTGCTTTTGCGAACAATATCGTTTGAAATTGAGAGAGTAAGTATTTTGTTCTGTCGCACCTTGAACTCTTCGCTTGCCTAGTGCTGACTCTAACTTCCTCGCACCACCGCCATGCATGAGCTGATCACTTGCACTGCTGATGCTCGTGAATTGGTGACAAGGTGGGCTCCGTGGCAACTCAGGGTTGAGTATCTTAGTTCCCAAAACCTTAATGGGATCCGCGACTGGTCGTCCTAGAAACAAATTCTCAGGATAATTTGGCATAAAGCTCCTATTATCATTCTGTACATCTCTCAATGCTACCTTTTTCATCGGTAGTGTTGATTGCTTATGGCACACAGATGAACCAACCACACTGTTTCCCAGTGCATTGTTGTTGAGGTTAGAGCTCACCATTTGAGGGATCAGAACAACTAATTTGGCTAAGAGGATCCTAAGGTCCTGGCTGCAGAGGCATTAGCAGAAAAAGAAAGATAAAATCAATAAAGATATCCTTGAGTGAAAACAACAGCCCCAATTTAACCATCATGCTAAAACACATTTAGCTTAAACAAATAGCGGATACAACAAACATTTTCTTCCTGCTGCCCTACTTGAATGAAAAGAATCACACAAAAAAACAAAAATTTAACTCCTCCTGCTACACAACTTGAGGGATTTAACTTTTTATAGGAGGGAAGCCACAATCTATGTCGAAAATGTAGTCATTATAACATGGAGTCACCATAAATGGCATGTTATCATAGGGAGATAAAGTTCAATTACTCAAGAAAATAGGAGCACTTTGCCAGTTTCTGAAAATGCCCTCCATCCTGAAAGCAATCTCAAATTTAAAAGACCCACCTAGAGAGTGTTTAAAGCTGGTCACTTTATCAAATCACATAGTGGGGAAATATTTCAACCATCCAATCTCAACAATTGGTAACAAGAAAAACAAATTTGACGAGCCCGTGAGTCCAATTTCAACAACATATAAGCATCGCCCGCCTTTTTCAAAACCCATTTGCAAAAAATAATTAGAAAAAGAAGAAACTTAATCAACTCTGCTCTAAACTGAGAGTATCAGTACAAATCTATGGTGGGTACTCATCAACTGTTTTGCATACAAAAGTTGCAGTCCAAATGGAGCTGCCACTATTCATAAACCCTATGAAGAAGAAGTTCAAGAGCCAAAGGAAATTAAATTGAACAAGATTCAATTATATAATAAATATTTGTGCGTGCGTGCGTGCGTGTAAGAGAGAGAGAGAGATAGAGAGGGTACGATGCTCAAATTTGTGATAGATAAACAGCAGAGATTCATAGAGTGGAGAAAGAATTACCGTTTGGAGTTTGGAGTTGGAGTTGGAGTTGGGGGGATCTGCAAGTGTTTGGAATGGATCTGAGGGTGAGGGAGGGAGACTGTTCAAAAAAGGAAATTTGGCTCCAAAGGAGGCGGAGAGGTTTAAACTGGGTTTAAAATATAGGCGGGCCCCACGCTACGTAGATTGGGCCCATCGGCGGCCTATGCAGGAAGGTGCTTTTTGGATCCAACAACTTCCATTCCATGTTGTGCGTTTACTGAATTTTTTGTATTTTCACAAAAACTCGTGAAGTTTTTAAAATTGCATTAAATTAACCACCTCTTTGTTTTCAATTTATTTACATTGATACTCATAGAAAATTTTTTTCTTCATATTTTCACAAAACTTATGAGGTTTTTAATCGAATGAATTTTGTAAAAACAATTTGAAATTTCGAAGGATATTAGTGTAATTTTTGAAATCTCGGGAGTTTAGTAAAAATACTAACAATCTTTATAAGGTGTCAATGTAAAAAATTCTATCTACTACCCGCCAGTAAGTTACCTGAGCGAGTAGTTCATTGTAAACAGGTATAAAAATGTCGACTATATTTTACCTTTCAACGATTTACTTACATTGTACAGGTAAATTAATAGACTAATTGGCCAACCAAGTTACGTATATATTTTACACCAACAAAACCACTCATTAATCAGAGAACATAAGCAGCCAGCCGAGTCCTTAACTCGGCATTTATCTGCAAATCTTTAGTTTCATATTCGAAATCCAACGTCACCTCTCCTCCCCTTCCCTCCCCTCCCTAACTTTGACAAAAATAAAATAAAATCAAGGACCATAACTGTGGGAACCGAATTAAATCATACCCTAGGTCAAATAATTCCTTCCATTTGGGGATTATTTGACCTAATTGGGAATTACTCAACCTAATTGGGAGTTACTCAATTTAATTGGGAGTTACCCAATTAAATTGAGAATTACCTAATTAAGTTGGGAATTGATTTGATTCCTACCCCAATTCCCAATTAAATGAGGAGTTACCTAATTAAATTAGGATTTGATCTGATACCTACCACGATTAGGGATTTGATTTACCCTAATAAATCAAATCCCTAATTAATCAAATCAATTCCAAATAGGGGAGGAATAATTCCCTTCCATCTATGGAATTATTCCTCTGAAACCCTAATCTCCGAGACCATTATAAATACTTGGCTACGCA